GCATCCGCCAGTCTCTGATGAAGTAAGCAAACAGGGGCAGCAACATGTAGCCAATTGCAAAAAATATGCAAACTCCTAACGTAGAGAATAGAATACGAACTGATTTGCCAAGAATTTCTGTGCCTGTTTAAAACAAGGGAGGTTGGATTAGCATTTTAACTCTTTTTCTTTTTGATCATGACTCAATACTTTACTGCATTTACAAAAATAAAAATATATTTTAATTTCATTATCTTTTCATTTATCTTATAATACTTAAAGGGACACTGTCAAGGAGTAATGGTCCAAGAGATGATCATCATCATGGTGCTGCAGAGAGAAATTCCACAGGATGTGGCTGGGGAAAAAAAATAATTCTCTACAGATGTTCACCAACAGCTTAAGGGGAAAACTTCTCAGGAAGGTGGGCAGTGATAGTGCAAAGGGCTGGAGGAGCCCGGGGGGCTGAGGATGCTGGAGCAGGGTCTGAGCTGCGCATGGGGACACAACATGGGTTTGGGTGTTGAAAACTGGAATGACAGGAGAAACCTGTGCTCAAGTGGCCATTTGAAAAAAAAAACCAAAAAAACCCAAAACCCAAACCCCACTGCATGTGGGGATGGAGGGTGCTAGGGCTGCAGCACAGCCAGCATCAACGGGGACTTTGCGTGTGCCAGTGTCACCGTTCCCCTCCCGAGCGGTCACAGCCCCGACCACCATCGGATGAAACAAGGGAAGCATCTCCAGCACATCCCATAATGAGGATGGGCTTTCTTAGGGAGTTCCTTTTCTTGCCGCGGGTATGTTCCCCTACCCAGCACCTCCATCGCGTGCGGCTCCCCGGCAGCTCCGGGGTTTGCCTCACCACGGTTGGGACACACTGACCGTGCAGCGCAGGGTGGAAGGACCATCCTCCAGAAGTGCCTCCCTTCTTTACCCATGCCTCATTTTAATTAGGATGCTAATGGCTAAATTAGTCTAGATTAATCCTGCCCTTAGTAACCGCCTAAGGCTGCTGGGGACCGGCCAAGACAGCGAGCCCAGGCAGGGAGTCACCACTGCTGCAACAACCACCGAAAGTGGGATGGCAGGAGAGACGACACGAGAGTGAAGTGCCCTCAAACCGCAGCCGTGCAATTAAACAAACCCAATGTCACCTGGGGAGACCCAGCCCTGTCCCTCAGCCTGGGGGTGTCATGCTCTTCTGCTCTATTTTTTCCCCATTGAAGCCCCACGGGGTAGGGAAGAGCAGCATTAACTATGAGTTTATGGTTTTAATTTACCATCCACAAATTGTAATTTTGACGCCATGGGTTTAAAAGCTGACATAAATGTATCCGTGCATCCTTTCAAGGCAGATCTTGCAAATCCCAGCTCCCCTCCCTGACACCTGCATCGCTCGTCCCAGTAAGTCACCAGTACAGCAACCTTTCCTGAAAACCCCCTGACTGGTGGGAGACTCTGCAGGGTCCCCTTCCCCATGGGGTCCCCCCTTCCTTGCGGGGTCCCCCCTTCCTTTCAGGGTCCCTGGGGAGCGATTGGAGCCATGCAGCCTCCCCACGGCCACTGGCTATTTATTCCTATGCTCCTTGCAGGACACAAACCAAACCTCAGCCTCTCAAATCAGGGACTTGATTGCCAACCTCAGCACCGAGACCAGTGACTTCATGGCTAACGGGGCTCTGACACCCACCCGGCTCTCTGCTCTGGTCCCCCCACATTTGCTGTGCCCAGAAACGCTGGTTTGCTCCCAGGCTTTGTGCCCAGGTATGCACCGACCCCTCTGCAGAGGGGCAGGGGGGAACCCCAATGCCTCCTCTATCGCAGACCTGCTTCTGCTGATAACAAACCCTGACTGCTGCCTGGAACTGCTTCTCCAAAGAGGAGGGAAATGGATGGTCATCTAGAGTCTTCCTGCTCTCTTCTTTTTCTCTACACTTATGGAAAGTATAGGCTTGAAGCATCCAAGAGCAAAAAAATCATACTAGCCTAAATTAGGAATTGTACCAGTGAGGATTTACCGCTAATTAAATGATACAGGTTCAGAGGGGAAAAAAAAAATAACAGTACATGAAGCAAGCACTGAATCTAGCACAGATGTATTCATGTATTCATACCCAGTATGAAGGCCACCACGTAGTTGGAGATCTGTCCCATCCCCACTATGAGGAAGAGCACCGTGAACATCTCCCAGCTGGTGGAGAAGATCTGCACGAAGCTGAAGCCAGTCTGCACGGCCATCGTCACAAAAAGGATATTCTTCCTGCCAAACCTTTTGCAAAAGATGAAGGAGATTATGATTGAAACAGCACGTGTGTATGGAGCAGGGCTGTCTAAGAGCACGAGGGAGCACACATATCCAACCTCAAGTGACGCAGCTTAGCACAACCTGAAGTGTGGTTTATCCTAAAGAATTTTGTTCATTATTTTCATAAGCACCAAAAAATCCCCAAAATTTCCAAGACCCAGGAAATAAACCAAGAAGAAAAATGAACAGCAGAAATTTCAGGGACCACTAGGCAGGGACTAAGGAGACTGGACAACAGTAGCTAAGTGAGAGGCACGTGAGGATGGCAAGCCATGCAGCTGCAGGTTAGGCAAAGGTGGCTTTTGGGCTACTGGCACCTCTGCATTGCAACACCATTATGCTCTGGATGTGTTAAATAGCTTTATCCACTGATTTCAGTCTTGCTGAGTTGCCATACACATTGCAGCCTTTCTCTCACCCTCTTGTTTGCTCTAGAAGTACCCGACAGCAGGGAAGAGCAAGTGTACGTCCGGGTTTGCACGCCCGCGTGCTCTGCACGGATGCTGCATCTCCTGCAGTGGCCCCTGGCTTAGCAAAGGTTCCTGCAGCAGCACAGGGGGAGCAGCTCAGGTACAGGCTCAGAACATGCCCCTTTGCTGACAAAACAGTAAAAGAAAAAAATTCAACCACTAGTTCCTGCTGGAAGGTGGCTGGGTGTCGGGAGCGGACTGGCAGCGCTGCCGCCAGGACACACACACTCTCTGGGATGCTCCCAGTGGGCACAGGGCACCAGCAGGATTTAGCGATTATCTCCTCTCCCTTTCCAACAGTAACACCGGCTGACTGGTGCACCGGGGCAGGAGTCAGAGATTAAATCCAGATCACATGGAATGTAATGCCGGAGGCTTTAGGATTAAGGCTCCCATGGAGGTCTGAAACCCCTCTGCTAAGCACCCCGAGGAGCGCTGGAACTCGTGTGAATTCCTCACCAAGAGGCAGCAATCACAGCAGGATTTGGGATCCCGCCATAGTGACATGGAAAAACAGGGCTAAGGGATGTCTGAAGAGGGAAGCAGAGACTCACAGAAGGAACATATATTCTGCATTTGACATTTGTAAGGCCAGAACTTCAATACTGCTGAGACAACTGTCAAGTGCCTGTAAAGTTTTCTTGATATTTTGCACCTCCTTAGCCAGGTGGCATGATAGCATTGCTATCCAGCTACAGGTTATCTTTTTTCCTTCCTCCTGCATATGGTTATTTCCAGCAAACCACCTCTCCTATTGCAGAGCTCCCATTCAAAGGACAAGCTTCTGTCCTGCAGCTCGAAGAATGGACTGTCTGTTACTGTGTGACAAACAACAAGATCTTTTGAAATACTAAAAAAACTGGATGAAGGCACAAATGTGGTCGTGCGGTGAAAACCACCACATCAATCTGCCAAGCAGCCACATGGGCTCCTTGCAGAGATCGGCTCTTGTTCTCCGAAAGCTCCCAAGAGGCAGCAATCCTGCACCTGGGGCAGATCAAATGTGGGATTCTGGAAGAAGCCAGGCCAGGTACCTCATTTGGATCAAACCCCAGAGAACTGGATGTTGAACCCCACGATGAATGAAGGCAGCAGCCGTGGCGCCAGCGCTGCCCTGCCTGCCAGAGCCGCCGTGTTACCTGTCCGAGAGCTGCCCCGAGATGAAGGAGCCGATGAGGACCCCCACGTAGAAGAGGGAGACGGTCAGGGGGGCCTTCCAGTCATCCTCGCACACCAGGTTCCACTGCAAAAGAAGGGCCAGTGCTCAGACGTGGCTGCACCGCCGCGTCCAGCCTCGTCCAGGTGTGGGGTTATGGGCTGGAGAGACGCACAAATGACACATTTCTCTGCAATTTGATTTAGTTTCCCTGCACACACATTTTCACCCATTGCTGGCACCACCACTGCTTCCGCAGTGCTGCTGGGAAGCCCCGCTTAAAGCATAAAAAAAGAAAAGGGAAAGCAAACTCCATCAGGCCAGAGCCCCCAAACACCGGGGGCCACCTGATGGGACCCTGTCACCGGTGAAGTGCGCAGCCAGTGATGCCAGACCTGATGGGCAGTGGGTGGGCACAGCCCAGGGGCTGCCCTGGCCCCATTTCCAGCCCATCACCCACCCATCAGGCCCCCCAACACCCAGGACCTGGCTCCCCATGACACTCCCCACCAGCAAAGCAGAGTGATGGAGAAGGGCACAGGACTGCCCCATCCCTAGGGACAGTTTCCAGTTTACCTGACCTCTGCCAGCACAAAATGTGCGGCATTTGTACAACTTCTAGGTTTGACAAAACATATGCAAGAAGATGCACAGAATAAAAATCTCTTTTCCCACGCTGACGTGTTTCCAGTCTCCTCTCCATCCCCAGAACGTGCGGGGCTGACTCACCGCCCATCGGACCTGCCTGGGGCTAGAGGCTTGGGACACAAGCCAGCGTGGAAACTTCCACCTAAAGCTGCTCGTAACCCCAGGCGAGGTTTAAAAAAATAAAAACAGCATCATGAGCCTCAGTCCACCAAAGTTACAGCTGAGCGTGCTTCTGCCACGGCTTGCTCCCATCCCGTCCTGTCCTGGTGACTAATCTCCCGGTGAAGGGATGGCTGCCAGGAGCTCATAGATAGACTTCAAACATGTCAGGCTCAGATTAGATAATTCTGCCCCAAAGGTAAGCTAATTAGATCACAGATCAAAGTACAGCATAATTTTAATAATTGGCTGTGCTATCAGACAGCAGGGCCATCGCCCGTACCAGTGTTCCCGAGCCCCGGCAAGGGCAGGAGCAGGAACATCCCCGTGGGCTGCTCCGCTGAGCTGCAGGCAGCAAGAAGGAACAATTATTGCATTACAGAGAGACCCAGATACTATCCGACAGCGCTGAGAGTCCTGCCAAAACCAAACCAAACAGCCCATGGGTCGCAGCCGGGCTTTGCTTCTGCTGCAGAAGAACGAGCAGAAGTGAACCCCAAAGCACGAGGGGATGCGGGGCGGTTCGATACAGTTTGCTCTGGACTATAATTCAGGAAAGAGATGTAATCGATGCCTGTTTCAGGCAGGATGACGGGACACTGCCAGTGGTGGGGAGCTGGCCGCCCCTGCCCAGCTTGCAAAGAAACAACAGCTACGAGACAAAAAGAGATGAACTGAGTTTAAAAACGCAGCCCACGGCTCTTCCCGAAAAACACACAGAGTCCTTAATGCAGGAACACGGAGGTTTGAGGATTAAAACGTGCCTCCAGTACTTTGGTGAATAACAAAAAGAAACCTATGGCAGCTGTTTCTGTAAAATATTTTCTTGTCCTGGGCAGGGAGAGGTGGCGAGGCATGGGCTGGGCGTGTGCCTGCATTATCTTCGCTGGATTTGATAAGGTGGGTGGGAGCGTGGGGGCCAGTGGGGCTCCGGTATGGTCAGGGATGCTAGTCCTGAAAAACCTATAGAGTCACAGAATCACAGGGTGGTTTGGGTTGGAAAGGACCTTCAAGACCATCCAGTTCCAAGCCCTGCCATGGGCAGGGACACCTTCCGCCAGCACACGCCTGCTCCCGGACCTTCAGACTTCGGTCACTCGAGGGTAAGGGTTGGTGTTTTTCAAATGCCTCTGCTGTGCCAAAGGCACTGGGGCTGCAAAATAAACCCGGCTAAATAATAACTTGCCCGTGATATGAAGTTGCTTTCTGCAACTCGGTGCCAAATGCCTCATGTCCATCTGTTCACGCCACCTCTTCCCATGACATCCTGCACAGGCAGCGAAAATCCCCTGTCCAGGGTGATCCTTGAAGATCTGCAGGATGTGGTAAAGAGCCTGCAGCAGCCGGCCGGCTGGAGAGGGGTCACTCTCTGCAGGAACTCGTATTTGACCAGAAAACACACACATGCATCAAATCCACCCAACTCCGAGCATACCTGAAGCAGTTGAGTGAAAAAACCACACCGGATATTTTAGCTCCAACACCACACATGGCAGGCAGGACGCGGGCGATGGTCTACCCAGCCCTGCTCTAGAGGTTTTTCATTTTCTCCCCAAACACCAGCCTCCCCCCCAAGGCTCTGACGGTGGCTCACGCCCTGGCACTGCATGGGGACCGAACGTGTGTCGACATGGGGAGATTTCACCCGTGCTTGCATGTACAGGCTGTAAGGAACCCCTTGCAATGCTGACTCCTCGCAAGCTGTACTTGGGGAAAAAAAAGAAATTTAACTAATTTGATGTTTTTCTCAGAGGCTGCATCCATCGCAGCCAGCACCGAACACACTGTGGGCGCAGGAGCTACAGCCCAGCTTCAGCTGAACTACCCACAGCTTCCCAACTGTCTGTACTGGGCTAATTATTCATTAACCAGCAAATAAGTAATTCTGTAATGGCCCTGGCTGACCATACTGGAGATCAAAGCTCATGTACGTTTCCAAGGAGCGCTCTGAATGCGAGGAATAAGAGCTGCTCGGGAAGAAGACTATTGAATCACTTTGTCACCATCAAATCCCTCCAACCCTTTCCCACAAGCTTCCAACCACTGGAAGAGCCAATTCTGGGCGCTGCTGGTGGGAACGCTATAGATGGACAAGCTTTCTGAAAAACTCAGGCTGCCAGAGAAGGTGCCCTAAATGCCCAAAGAGACCCTGGCACCTGTGTTCTCAATCAGAAATCACTAATTAACCATCCTGAGTATCAGCTGGTTCACATCAGAGAAGAAAACACCAGCAGAGCCTTGTGTAAACGGCCCAGGCTGTAAACCTGGGATAATCCAGCCCTGTTTCTGAGAGCAAATCTGAACAGCTCAAGAAATATTAAAATATTCACCGATTGCCCTGTGCTGCACCCTGGGCACCAAGTCCAGCGATGAGAGCAGCTCCGCTCAGCACACGAGTGATGAGCACAGACAGGGTGGGCTCCAGGGCTGGGCAGGGCTGCTGGACACAGCCCGAAGGGAACAGGAAAATCCTTCAGACACCTTCAAACCACAGCAAGTCACATCCAGCTTCTCACTTCTGCCAGCGCCAAAAGCTCCTGGTTTCTGCCTTCATCGAGAAGTCAGCGCCAGGCTGGGACTGGGGGACACCGGCGAGAGGCGAGGAGCCCCAGCAAAACCTTTGGGATTCATGGAACGGTTTGGGTTGGAAGGGACCTTCAAGATCACCCAGTGCCCCCCCCTGCTATGGGCAGGGACACCTCCCACCAGCCCAGGTTGCCCAAAGCCT